CCCCCCCTCCCGTAAAAAAAAATACTGTCTTAGTGTCCGTTTTTGTCGCCCCGGGCAACTCTGGCACTGCACTCGTGTCTCAGTGGTCTCAGTACATGTAGTCCTGCTCCGGGCTGGGTCCCCGGTAGCAGGTCGCGGCTCGCAGATGCAACTCGTCCAGGCAGTGGCCAACATCATCCTTGAGCTGGCGAACCTTGACGCGCACCTCCTCGCGCATCAGGTTGTAGCACATGGCGATGAGTCCCAGGCCGAGCAGCAGGTACACGAAGGTGATGACCCGCCGGGTCTGGATGCCACCGTCGTCACCGCCCTTGCCGTCGCCCTCGCCGTCGCTGAGGGTGGCGCCGGGAACGAAGTCGCCGAAGCCGATCTTGCAGAGGCTGGTCACGCAGAAGTAGCAGCTGTCCAGGTAGCTCCATTGCTCCCACTCGGCGAACATGATGGTGCCTGTGAGCACGTAGCCGCTGATGACCCAGAGGCAGGCCGTGGACGGCACAATCACCCGCGGCCCCGGACCCGTGGAGCCGGCCGGCCTCGGCGTCGAGCACTCGTACAGGCGGGTGTAGAGCCAGCGAAACGTCTGGGCCAGCACCTTGCCCATGTTCATGAAGTACAGCACGTACAAAGGGACGCCGAACACGGCGTACACCACGGTGGCGGCTTTGCCCCACGTGGTCCGCGGCACCAGGTTCCCGAAGCCAATCATGGTGAAGATAGACAGGGAAAACATGAGGGCAGCGGGGAAGGACCACATGGCCTCGGCGGTGCGGCCGTCGTAGCCCTTACGGGCCGCGTCCACGACGGCGCCTTGGAAGCCCATCAGGGCCGAGTCCACCTTGCGGCGCCACAGCGACTCGTTGAGCACGTTGAGCTCTTGTGAGATGAGCCACAGCCGGGCCGCCGTCTGTTTGCTGTGCTCCCGCACCTCTGCGAGCTCGGGGTACTCCACCTTGCTCTCGATGTTTATGAAGCAGACCGCCCCCACTATGGCGTAGCTCACGACCAGCCCGCCCACGCCCACTTGGGTGCACATAAAGGCCACCAGCTTGCGGCAGCAGTCCTTGACGCGCTCGCGGGGGTCCGACGCCGTGCTCGAAGAGTCCTTGGAGCCCATGGAGCCCTTGGAGCCCCGGCTGCGCACAGATCCGCGCCCGCGCCCCAGGTCGCCGGGGTGCAGCGCCCCCGCGGCCGCCGCGTGCGCCCCAGCCCGCCCGCCCTGACGCATCGTACTGGCGCCGTGGCCCGCGGCTACCCGAGGCCCCGGCCGACGCCCTCCCCCCCTCCAAAGCCCTACGCGCGGTCGCCCCGGGTAGGCCTCCCGGCCCAGACTTGATCCTTACACACAAATTCCCCCCTTTCCCCCGTTCCCTTTGACGCCTCACGGTGGACGGACACATTGCACTCTTTCACCCCCCCCCCCCTCTTTCCCATGCACAGGAACCCCAGCATAGAGTCCTAGAGGGGAGAGAAACGTAAACTCGAGAAATGCGTCGATGAATCCCTCATACCGCTACCCCACCCTGCCCCGCCACTCCTCCCCGCTGAAACCAAATCTCCCCAAGATGGCCGCGTGAGCATGCGCACAAGCGCGTGCCCCTCAAGATGGCGACTCGGGTTTAGCAGCTGTTTACGTGCCGTAGTCCGTGAAGCGTACGGCTAAAATCAACAGTTTTTAATATTTAGAAGTTAGCCAGCACCCCAAAATGCAGCGAGCCGAACGGGTATGAAATTTAGGTTTCCGATCGATGCTTTACCAACACA